CTTTCTTTTGAAATTAGGGTGCTACTAAAGTTCATACTTTATTTTAGGTTTTATTTTGTTCTGTCTAAAGTATCTTTATACTGAAAAGACTCTACTCTTGGCTGCCCTTGTATTTTTTGTGTGGTACCAGTAAGTTTAGGACAACCAACTTGGTGCATGAACCTGTTTTCAGGCTGTTGAATAAGCTTGGGGGAAGGGTATCCGGGAACTCCAGTGTTCTGTGTCCTGTGCCCTGTACATTTGTGTCTTTTACGAGAGAATACAACAGGTGAAAACGTTCTTGTCATTTTGATTATGTCTCAGGTTTTTGTGAGAGAAGCGATTCGTTGTGTTTCATTTCAGCTATGTAACTCAGAGCCATTTGTAGTTTCTGATGGCACACATCAGAAATACTTGTGACTTTACAGCTATGCCATTTCCAGTAACTAAGAAATGAATAACTCAGTTGCATATGTTAAGGCACGTTTTTAATTAGATGACATTGAGACACACTGGGAATGAATTATAGGTGGGAAAAGGAAGTTGAAAGAAAATATGTTTTAGAAGCCCAGACATTTGTGCATAACATTTCACATTTTCTAACCTGCAGCTGATGAAGGAAGTGTGCCAGCAGATATAGCCACATTACTAAAAACGTCGATGGGCCTGTGAAAGGAAACTCAGAATTCCTCATTGATGAAGAAATATCAACTTGGTGCGCTCAAGGACATTCACTCACAGTGACCATGGGGTTTATGAGCATTTGTAACTTTTTATAATTTCACGTTGCATTTCTCATAGTATGGACAACTTTTTGCCACTAACTGGATTCTCCAGATATTCACATCCTGAAGATGTTGAATAATCATTTTACAAAGCAGTTTTCTGAATGGGGATTAGTTGGTGATTGTTTGTAACAAATATGCTAATGCTTTAGAAATGTCAGTATTTTTGTAATTATTTCTACCTCCAAATATATATATATATGTATATATATATATTGTCTTTCACTGGATAATGTGTGTAGATTTACATGTGCCTTATTTGACAATGCTTATGTCTTGTTGTTTTGCCTGTCTCATTTGAAGTTTTTATTACGTTAAAGAATGCAGCAGTATAGGTTGTTTAGCCTTCATTTTATTGCTATTTGAAGCAGATGTTCACCAATGTCAGTTAGAACTCAGCCTGAATCAAAAGGTGGCATTCCATCTACTAACATCCCCAGGTCCTCTTCCTCCTTCTATTAAAACACATTTGTTTGGCTAGGCACTAAGTTGTTTTCCAGTGAGTAGTAGTAACTTAAGCCTTTCTCCTGCTCTGTGGCTCGAGCCCTCCTTTCATTTGCTTACGCTACACTTCTGTGCTCATGACTGCCTGCTTGTGTGTGTAACCGTCCATTTCCCTCCCGCTTGTGCTTCTCTTAACGGTTGCCCAGTCTCTTCCGCTCCCGTTCTCTCACATACGCCCTACCACCATACACAGATGAGCAAATGCTGGTGACATTTTTCCAGGCCAGCAGATCAGGTTAACTTAAAGCTACTTCACTTCATCGGAGACTGAATGGATGTGGCTTCATACTAAGGCATCATTAGATACTGCATGGAAATGAGTCATTAATTTTAAATTCTTACTAAAATAGAATTTACCAGTTCCTGAGATTCCAATACAAGACCACCTGAAGAGAAGCCATTGTTCACTTCCAGTTCAATGTGGGTGACAAAGTGAAATTTAGAAGTAAAATTGTCTATTTGTTATTTCAGTCTTTCTTAACTATTGTTTTAAATTTTGCCTGTCAGTCTATATTGCTGTTTTTATTATACACAAGAGTCTTTGTACAACTTGTGAGCTTTATGTGTTTTGTTTTTATTTTGTAAATATCATTATAAATAAACTTATTTATAAATGAGAGATTTGCTAATTATTGAAGCTCATACTTTTTCAGACGTCCTGATGGCTAAGGTGCTAGGCAAGCTGTTAAAAGGTTGATACCATCTTATAGTGCTTTGTGTTTAGGTATCCGAGACTCTGAACTTTTGACTCAGTAGATACAATTGTGGTGCTATATGAACATATCATATACATCAGCACTACAGACAGGGCTACCAGGAATCTGCAACCAGGAATCTGCAGCTGTCGGTGCTACCTCCTCTTGATCACAGTATCCAGGTCATTTAGCGAGTTGTTGGGAAACGTACCTCTTAAAGGCACAGTGAATTTTTCTTAAGTTTTCTGTATGAATGTATCTCCCATAGTAGGCCTTTTGTTGTGTTGTTATATCCATATTTCTTCTAATGAAATGTAGTTGGATTCTCCCTGTAATATTCTATTATTATGTCTCTGGGTTTAATAAAAGTATTTGTGATCATTAAGTTTCACACCCTTTGTAATAGTTTCTAATCCTCTTTCAATCCTTCCCCATAGAAGTATATAATATTGAGCAGAATGGGATCATCTTGTGTTCAAGATATTGCTTGGCAATAAATTGGGATTTGTTACTTAGAATGAATCCTCACTTGTCCCTGCATTGGGCTGATGCCATTAAACATCATAGCCCATTCTTAACAGAAAGCATACAAAAGCCATAGATTGTTAATACCATAACCAACTGAGGAAGGTGTTTTGTTTGTTTTTCTAGATAAGAGTTTCTCTATAGCCCTGCCTGTCCTGGAACTTACAGTATAGACTAGGCTTGCTTTGACCTCAGGGATCCGGCTGCCTCTGCGTCTGGAGTGCTGGGATTAAAAGTATGTTCCCCCAATGCTCAGTATGAAGTAGGTTTTATTTTGTTTCCTTAGTACAAGTCACACATGGATAATAAGTGTGTCCTATGTGTCTAGGGCAGGTAACCTTTGTCAATAGGAATTATATTACAGAGTGAAGATGTGGATGGATCAGAAGATTAACCTTCAGTGGCTTCCTATAAAATTGTTAAATACTGCCCTTTAGAACATGCTATGGTTACATTTTACACTTGAACTATGAATCATGGAAATATGTAAAACTGTCTTATTTTGGTGTCCATTTTTTGTTAAGTGTTGTATTCATTGCTTCCCCTAAATTCTATTTCCATTAAAGACTAGCTTTAATGGAATGAAATATGGGAAGAAATGCCTGTACATGTATAAGAGGCATTACTGTCTTCATTAAAAGCATTGCTGAATAGTTCCTTAATGATTTTTCCCCCCCTGTGGATTGTTTCAATCATGTGATGTCTACTTATGCAATGAGATTCTTTTATTCTATTAGCAGCTACCATTAACAAATTTTTAACTAAAAGATCAAGGTCCTAAGGTTTTTGATATACACAAACCCACCCACCCCAAGGGCAAATCAGTACAGTGTTCTAAAAAGAACACACCTAGCTGGACATGTATTTCCTTTCTCCATATATTCCTGTTCTTCCTCCCTCCCTCCCTGTCTGTCTGTCTGTCTGTCTATCTTTCCTTCCCCCTCTCTCCTCTGAACTTCATAGAGAGCGTAAAGCCACCTAACAAGGATAATTTAAATATTGTTAATAGTCTTTTAAGAAAAAAATTATCGAACTTTGTTTACTGAAATGTACTGTGAGTGTGCATGCCACAGAGCTTGAGGTCAGAGGACATAGGTAGAAGTCAGTCTTTTGCTTCCATTATGTGTCAGGGATTGATTGGTCTCTGGTCTTCATGTTTGGCTAAAAGTGCTTTTATCCATGCAGCCATCTCACTGGCCAACAGAGGATTGTGTAGAGAATTGCTTTCCACTTTTTGTCTCTGCTTCCCAGCCACCATGAGGTAAATAGTCAGTTTCTTATATGCAGCCCACCATGATGGGCTTCTTATATGAAGCCCACTTGGCTTCTCCACAGAGCCAACCCAATGAAGCCAGCCAACCATTGGGCTTAAGTCTGTGAGATAGAGCCATGTAAATCTTCCTTCCCTGTAAGCTGTTTGTGTCTGTTACAGTTTGTCAGTGATAAAAAGCTAACACAGATTTTTGGAATTTTATTTTCTAAAGACTTACATTCACAGTAGCCATCCCTGGTCTGTATGTGTATTAAGGTTTATTTCTCTATTTCCTCCTGAAGAGATTGTTAGTTTTGACAGTTGTATATAAAGCAGCACCTAACATGCATGTTCAAGCTTTGTGCTCATTTGGGTGAATGCAACAGAGCAAGACTGTTGGGCCTCATGGTAAAAGGACATTTTGTTTTGTGGGGAACTAGGTCTCAGCCTGCCTTCTTTACCATTCCACCATCAACCATTCTTAGTTCCGGTTACGTCACTGCCTCTCCAGTGTTGATTTGATGTCTGAGATTTTTACCGTTTCTGGTCTGCACTGCTATTAATTCCCAGATGCCATTATTTTGGCACCTCTTCTCATGCTCTTTATCTTCTTTAAGTGTCACTTCTCGGCTTCCATTTCTTTATTACTAACTTTTTGCTGCTCTTTATATATTTCCAACATTTCTTTAGCAGGTGGATGTTTTGCACACTTTTTCCTAGTCTGTGGGTTGTCTTCTCGTTCTACCGATCTGTTTTAACCCCCGGCAAAGGTTTATTGTAACCCTCTGTCCCTTGTCTCTGGGTCATCTAACTTTCTATGTCACACCCACTTTTCTTTTGTCAGGGAGCTGACAATGCCCCTTAGTCTACAGCCTCCTGAACTGTGGCAGTGCTGTTACAGTCAGCTTTTTCTGTAACTCTACTGCTGGATCTGAATAAGCTCCAACATCGTTTTCTGTGGCTGTACTTGAATCTGTTGAGTTCCCTCTTTTTAGTACCCAACTTGTGACATGTCAGACAGATGTATATTTTTGGGAAGCAACCTGTACCCTTTGCTGTATACCTGAATAACATGTATGGTGGTGGCCAGTGACATGGTTGGGCACTGAGCATTGTGGGTATTGGTTTTTAGTGTAATGATTGGCTGATTGATAGGCCTATTTGCAAAACCTGTGTTTCACAGGATTTTTTGTAGTTACGATGCCGTGGTAATTGACACACTAGCCAGGAAGTTAGTATTTTAAAGCATCCAATGGTAACCAATGCAAAGCAATATGTATTTTTGAACTCTTTGCTTCTAATTATGGAAAGTGTAAAGTTCTGGAAAAAGTAAAATACTGTAAACTAAATGCCTACAGAAGCAAAAACAAAACCAAAGGAGTCATAGCAAGCAGAATACAAAACGGAGCCCTGGTGGTAGTAAGAAGTCTGTGGGTCTGCTGGGCTGATGGTGCTCTCTTCTGGTGCTGGGGCCTGGATCAGAGTTTGGTCTGTGGCCTCTTTTGTATCCAGGCAGCAATGGCAGGGATGGCTTGGACCTTCTTCCGCAATGACGCCAGCCTGGGGTGGATATCCAACAAGTCGGGCTTTAAGACCAAAAGTGTGGTGCTGCAGATATCCCAGTAGAAGTCTGCCCATGTTACCTGCTTAAAGGAAAACAACGATTTGCTTTTTAATATAAAAAAAAAAAAACTAGCAATGTTCTAAAAGTGGGCTTAATTTGTTACTCTCAAGAAACATTTCCCTTCCGCTTCACAACAACTCTTTGTTAGTACGAAAGCTGACTGTGTGTGTGATAAAATTAGAAAGTGCCAAGCACTACAGTGCCCAAGGGACACTGATGGATACTGTCTGTGACTTGGTATAGGTGCCTGAGGCAGGCAGTTTACAGCATGAAGCCAGGGCTACACTGTTTTGAAGCCATGCCCAATCTCCACCAGTCTGATGATACATTTCCAACTGATGTAACTGATTTCCACCTGTTCCAAAAGCCCTTTAGATGACAAAGCAGGCTCATTCCAGGTGTGTACACACTTTAACTCTTGTCATAGAGAATACTATTTTGTATGTCACCATTGATGGTTGTACACCAATCCTGCAAATAACCTGTTTGGGGATCTGTGATTATACCATTATGTTGTCTACCTTGTTCCTTTGTGTTTTAAAATATAAAGGATAATGCACGGGTTATCCCTTCAGAGTCTCTAATTCCAAGGGAAATGTTTCGGGAAAAATCTATTATCTTTGCATCACATCAAGACAAGTAACTATGGGTATCTGATCCTTAATGGAATACTGAGTTGGCCAAGGTAAAGGGTACAGCCTGCCTTAAACAGTAGTGTGTTTTACTAGAACTCCCTCTGAAGACCAGGCTGTCTGGGATGGTAGCATGTTTCCCCAAGCCCAGCTACAAAGTGAAATTTACATGTGGCCTAAGCTTGCTTGTGTGTGCATGATTTACCAGAGCTGGTTGGTGGTCCTTCACAAGTTTGCTGTCATCTAAGAGAGGCTGATGCTTGGAGGATTTACAGTTTAGCTAAGACACGTTTACTAAGTACCTGTGTGCCATACACACATCTAGGTGTTAGGAACGGCAGTGAACGAGCTGGGATGCTGTGCCCTGCTCTGATGCGGATTTGTTTGTAGTTGGTAGTGCTGTGGATCACATTTAGCCTTCACACGCCACTGAACCACACCCCAGCCTGGAATTTAGTTTTGGGAGAGAGCAATCAAACACACAGTGAAGCTGGTCATGAAGGAAAAGTGGAGTGACTATCATGAGGGGGCACCCTCTGAGAGCTGATGTATGTTTAGGTCAAGGGTCCAGACATGCCACGCTTAGCCGCCTGCACTGGGAGTGTGACATGCCCATGTCTAGTTTGAAGCACAGTGAAGACCAAGAGAGTGAGCGCTCAGGGATGGGGTGGAAATGGTTTACAATGAATAGGAATTAAGAAAAAAAAAATCACTTCCATCTAATACTCAGAAAATGGGCAAGGGAAGGAGTGTTTGCAAACGGAAAGTGGGGAGAAATAAGGGGCTGTGCAGTGTAATGGGAAGCTGAAGAGATGTAGGGGAAAGGTACACTGATCAGAGCCACCCAAGGCACAGACAGCAGCACCATTTTTCTTCCACACAGTAGCCCAAAGGGTTTGAAAACACCCACCCACAGCACCAAAGTCAGATGTGATTTGGGTGGAGTATGTTCCTGCTCAGAGAGCCTGCCCGTAGCATCTGGCTATCATCCCTCTGATGTGGGTGGTTTCTTGGGGCCACTGGCTAGGCCCGTTGCTTCTTGGGGTTGGAAAGTGATGATGTTGATTCTGGTCCTCTCCCTATGACTAGGACACTTCTCTGACTGCCCGCGTAGGAAAGGCGGGACAGATGCCTCTGAGCCTCTCACACTGGTGTCTGTTGCTGAGCGTTTTCAGGATGGAGCTTGCTTGGGGGCGGTGTGTTGTATGTTTGGATATCATAAGCTTCTCCATTTGTTTTGACTTGCTTGAATTTGCTGCTGTTAATATTCTCACTGAAGTCTGTATTGCTTCATCTGAAGCCATTGTCAGACTGATTTCTGAATTATTTTAATATAAGAAATTACAAATGGTAATTTATTTGCTTCTAGTAGGAAAAAAGCGCTATATTTCTTTGCTCAAACTGAGAATAAGTCATATGTCCATGAATCCCCAGTTCTGTTCAGTATTGAGGAGATCAGAATCTGGGTATAAGGAATACTCATGATGCCTGGATTATCCTTGTCTCCTTTCCCACACCAAAGAGCCTACTTCTTGGTGACAACAGTGTGCTTTCTGATTACTGCACTCCCGTGTGCAAATCATATCTTTAATACCGACAGTGCACAGGACTGCTAGTGGTTCTACTGAAAATGGCCTGCGTTCATTTTTCTAAGATTCATGAATCACATTGCAGTGCCTTGCATTAAAAGTAGTTCTTGGAGTCCTTTTTTGTTATTCGGAGTACGGTATTGGGGCTGGAGAGATAGTTCAGATGGTAAAATGTTTGCTGTGTTAGCTTTGCGAGGAGCCAAGTTAGAGCCATAGAATTTATATATAAAAGCTAGATGTGGTGGTGCAGGCTTGCAACCCTGGCACTGGGAAGGCAGAGGCAGGAACAACCCTGGGGGGTCACAGGCCAGCTGGTCTAGCCTAACTTGAGCTCCAGGCCAGCAAGGGATCTTGTCTCAGAAACCAAGGTGGACAGTATCTGCGGAACAATGTCTGAAGTCAACCTCTGGCCTCCATACACACACAGTTTGCCCCACACATGTGGACATGTACACACACATGCGCAATAATAATGCAGGAAGTAGTTTTTAGATGCTCTTGGGTATGTGATACAGATTGTTTCCCTTTTGATTTTTAGGATAACTTTTAAAAATTATTGCATATAATTGTATGAAGTACTTTATGACTCCAGGTCAGACTATCTGTAAAGAGTTAGAGAAGGTCAGTGGAGTTTTCTCTCTCTACTGTAGTTTCGGGGTAATACCCCCCTTCCTTCTTTCCTCTTTGAGACAGGGTTCATGTAGCCCAGGCTGACCTCAAACTCTCTATACAGCCTCTCATGTGCTGAGATGACAGGTAGGCACTATCGTGCCTGGTTAGAATAACATTTTGCTCGGTAAGTTTTTAGTTTATCGTCTTATCTAAGTATAACTGCTGGTATTTTTTTTAAAACATAAAACGTACTCACATAGTTACCAATAAACCACTCTTTGTCCCCTAAGTATGTGTCCAAATCTTTCAGAAGAAGAGGCGCGTGACATGTGAGTAGCTCCTTGAACGTCCGTTCCTAGGAGAGAGAACAGTGTGATCTAAACAGCAAGTTAGGAGTGAAAGTAGCTGTGCATTTGTTTCTTGGTAGTTAGGAGCTTGTAGAGACCCAGGCCAGACTCTGTCATTTATTACTCAGATTTTTAAATTACGTATGTTCATGTGCCCCAGAGCCTGTGTAGAAATCAGAGGGTAACTTCCAGGAGTCAGTTCTCTCTGTCTACCATGTGAGTCTTAAGGATGAAACGCAGGTCTTCAAGCATAGCAGAAAGCTGAATGACCTCACCAAGCCTATCACTCATTTTAAAATATCTTTGTCACCAGTTTCATTATGTGTTTTTATTGCCTATGGTATTGTTTCATAGGATGTTTTCATAAAGCATTTTATATACATCACACACACACACACATACACACACACACACACACACACACACACGTATGCCACATTTTCTGCATTCATTCCAGAATTTTAGACAGGTTGTTTCTACCATTTGTCTACTGTGTTTCAACAGCGACCATAAACAATGATGAACAAGTGTCTCTGTGGGTTGTTGACGTGATTGTCTTTGGTAAATATTTGAGAGGCACATAAGCAAGTCATGGTAAATCGGGTTTTGGTTTTATGAGAAACTCCCATGACTTTTCATCGTAGTTTATTGTAATGAAAGATTATTGTATTTTTAGATTTCTGAAACCCCCTTTTAACACAGGGCCCTTAAAGTTATGTGACTTAACTGAAGGGAAGTAGCTGTGCCACATTCTGTGAGTCTGGACATTCTATTTTTTGTTTCCTCCCCCATTATTGTACCCAATGGGGATAATGGGCCACGGTGATTCATGACACCCACGGGGCCTTCACATGAGTGCGTCTGCCTTGCATATTTAGGTAGCCAAATAATAAACACTCACAATAAGCTCAAGAGCAGTCCTAGTGACCTATGTTCAGAGACTTGTTTCATTTAACCCTTTAAAATTGGAAATGGGCTTTTAGCAACCAACACAGAATTTTCAGCATGCATTGGAGCACATAGAATGACAATATTTTCAGTGAGACTTGTGTGGCAGCCACACGTGTAATCCGAGCACTCAGGAGACACTGGCAGGAGGGCTGCCAGGCCAGCCTCCATCTCAACTAAACCAATGTATTACCATCTTACTGTAGTTATTCGCCACTTGAACACAAGGTGGCAGCAACGGACCCTGCTGCCCAAATAGTGCAACCCTGAAACTTTTTGTTGCTGGCATAGTCCATAACTATTGTCAGTGCCTCTGTAACATTTTCTTTTGTATAATTTGTTCCTGAACTTGGGCTTCTATGTCTTCTGAACCTGGCTTTAGAGTCATAGGAGCATCGACCACTTTGTTACTCACAAAGCTAGAGTATTAGTTTATCACCAAAGGCCAGAGATACTCTCCTTGGGGATGTGTCCTCTGTTGTAGTTCCTCGGCCTCAGAAAGATAGAAAATAGAGAGAAAGGCAAGCTGAGAAGGTAGCAGACTGTCTAGCAATGAGGTCTTTGGCACACTGAACAAAAATCTTTATACACTTTTTTTTTCATATTGGGGAACATGATGTGTTTGTGTGTTTATAATGATACATAAAATAGACATAACACCTGGCAAATATAAAGACAAATTAACACAACTCTCTAACATCTTAATAATAGCTGATGTTTGGTAAACACTTTATGCCCTGTCATGTGTATAATGTTGAAGCTGTCAACATGCTTCTAAGGAGAGTCCCTTATATCTATACATGACACCCACCGAGTTTGGATCATGAAAGGGAGTCGTAAGACACCAGAGCCCAGCTATATTATGTCAAAAAGTCTTTTTAAATTTATGCCATCAAAAGCTGAGCTTTTCAAGGCTTTGTTCTCTCTTTCCTTCTCTCTCTTTCTCCTCTCTTACTGCTAATATCCCTAACACACCTTATTTATATAAATAAGTATATCCAACTCTCTCCAGCCAGAAGATCCTAACAATACAAATAATATTTAGAATGTAGGTGTTTGAGTAAAATGGTGAGAATCACATTGGTTGTTCTGGGCTGTGGCTTTTAATTTGTACTTCTTACTTGTATGAAGTGTTTAGGGCAGTGGCTAGTACTGTGACATTACAACGAGGAGTTAAGACCAACCGTGCAGTCTGAGAGTGACCACGGTTTGCATTCCTTCCACAGAACTTTTCATCTAAATACCTGAACTCAAGGTATTTGCACACTTGAGTCTTCCTGTCCTCACCTGGACACTAGGCTCTGTGGCAGTTCCACAGACTTTAAGCTCTCTGGATTAGACCGTGGGTTCTGGAGTTTTGGCAGGTGGAACCAGGTCACGTTCTTACACTTGTCTGACTCTGAGCACCTTCCAAACTACTCTGGCTGCTGCTTCATCTCGAAAGACTGAATGATGGTGAAATAAATGCCTTTCTACTGGCGAGAACATGGCTAGGGGACGAGAGCAGCCCCTGGTGGTAGGATCTGATAATGCAGGATCCTAGCAATGATTCAATGAACAGTGATTGCCTTTAGAGGGTGACACTTCCTGTTGAAGTAGTCATGTGACAACTACATTTTAAGGTGTGATTGTGCAAGTATCCCAAAGGAAGCCACTAGAGGGCTGGAAAAAAGAAACTGGATAACAGTGATGGATATGACACTTCACATAACCTTATTTCCATCTCAATTCAGTAATAGTGCACATGCTTTCCGAGATTAAACCTATGTGGAGGTGGGAAAGAGGAGAGAGGATTAGCGCAAAAGAGTTTTAAGCTGTCTGTGCAGGTGAGTGGGCAGACCAGCGTGGGAAAGCCGGAAGTTAACGCTGTGTATAGTCAAGATACAGCCTCGGGAAGTTAAGAGTGGTGGGAATAGGCTCCTCCTTCATTTCAGGCTAATGGATAGGATCCCATCCCTCTCTACAGGAGACTGGGGGGCGGGGGCACCATGCGTCTCTTCCCACTGTCTCTAGATCAGTTTTCTCTGGGCGCTCTTCCCATCACAACAGTAGACATTGGGAGCCAGGGACACTGGAAAAACCCCAAATAGTAAAGTGACATTCAGACTCAATAAGCTGTCTGCACGTGTACAATTTCACATGAACCACAGTCCTTCCATCCACCGTGGGTTCTAGGGGATGGCCTAATACCAAGGCGACTATGGCAAACAGAAAGTTCAGTAACTTTACGCAGACAAGCAATGGGTGAGCAGAAGACAGTGTATCCATAAAGTAAATATAAAATATCCTCTACAGTAAAACAAAGCACTGTACAAGAAGAATCCAGAGATGTGTCAGGCAGTGTCCAGTGAGGTGGGAGGCAGTAGATATGCTCAAGCTACTTTACATATGTGCACAAAATTGTCAAGAAATAATATCCTACTTTAAAACCTGATAAATTTTGAAAGGTGAAAATTTAGAACTCAGGTTGAGGATGTCCTGAAAACACAAAATAAAATAAATAAATAAATAAATAAATAAATGGAGTTAGAGAAGATCTTAGCCTCCCAACTGGGGTGTGCAACTGTGCAACAACAATAAACAAAAAAAGCAAATAAATAAATGAAGGAGAGAGGCCAGTGAAGGGACTTTAAAAGAATTCAAGGATATTTGACTTTTCCAAACAATGTCTCAGGCTGAATGGGCCCGTTCAAATGGTGCCAGGCTGGGAGGATGCTCAGTTGATAAAGATGCTTGCTGCTACTTGAGCTCGGATCCTGTCTCCATCAGGGTCCTATTGCTGTGATGTGACACCATGACCATGGCAACTCTTAGAAAGGAGAACATTTAATGGAGACTGGCTTACAGTTTCAGAGGTTTATCATTGTCACGGCAAGAAGCGTGGCAGCATGCAGGCAGGCACAATGTTGGAGAATGAGCTGGGATCTCTACATATTGATCCACAGGCAGCAGCAGGAGATTGTGCCAGCCTGGACATAGCTTGAGCATATGAGACCTCAAAGCCTGCCCCACAGTGTCACACTTCCTTCAACAAGGCCACACTTCCTAATGGCGCCACTCCCTGTGGACGGGGAAGGCGAATACATGAGTTGGTGGGGGCCATTCCTATTCAAAACACACTATAGGTCCCTGATGCCCAATGAGACACCAGCCTAGCACACAGCTGTAGCCCCAGCACTGTGGAACAGAAATGGGAAGGTGTGTGGGCTTGTTGGCTTGTCAGTCTATCTGAATTGGTGAGCTCCAGATTCAGTGAGTATCTCTGTCTCAATAAGTAAGCTGAGCAAGGATGGAAGAGGCAAGTGGACATTGACCTCTGACCTACACAGGCTTGTAAACACATATGTGCACTCAGACACACAAGAAAGAAAACAAGATGGTCCTCAAACTCACCATTTTCCTTCTGGTTTTTTTTTTTTTTCTTTCTGTTTCTATGTTTATCTCTGCAGTTATTCATTTTGTGAGATAGGCTCTCAGTGTGTAGCCTTGGCAGTCCCAGAGCTTCCTATGTAGACCAGGCTGGCCTGGAACTCAGAGATCAACCTGCTTCTGCCTCCAGAGTGCTGGGATTAAAGGCATGCGCCACGGTGTACAGAAAAACTCATCATTCTAAACAGTTAACTTAAACTCATCAATGGCTGGTCACCTTTAGTGTTCTCAAATGCTAACAACACTTTACTTGCTCCATAGAATTCCTTATCCAACTCTCTTAGGGTTTCTACAACCAAAAACCACTTAGGGAAGGCAGGGCTTATTCATGTAATGCTCTCAGGTTACACTCTGTCCTTGAGGGAAGTCAGGGCAGGCATCTGGTAGTGGAAATAGTGGAAGATGGCTGCTTACTAGCTTACTCCTACGGTTTTCTCAGCTTGCTTTCTTGTAGAACATAGGACCACCTACTCAGGGATGGCCCCACCCACAATCAGTTGGGCCCTCCTCATCAGTCACTAATTGAGAAAATGCCCCATGGCACTGCCCACAATCCAATCTTACAAAGGCGGTCTCTCAATTGTGGTTCCTTCTTCTAAGATGACTCTAATTAGTGTCAAGTTGACAAAACCAAAACCAAAAAAACCCAACCAAGACAGCAACAAAACTATGAAGCCAGGTGAAAATTAAATTGAAAAGAAGTTGCAAGCTAATAAAGCATCAAACTTTCGATTTCCTGTCATGAGTAAAGCTATTAGTGAATTGTTTCACAAACAAGAGCAGAAAACAGAGGCTGAACCAAATTAAGAGCCAGAAGAAACATTTGGGGTGTTAATGAAAACCTGAGGGTAACTGAGTACCACGCCTGTGGCGAAACCAAACCTGACTGGAGCAGTGACACAGATGGAGAAGTCTCTACACCATCACCTCTTCTCTTAGTGATGTTCTCTTTAAAGTACTAGAGGACATGCTCAAAAAAAACAATGACTTACACAAGAAAGTGGGCATCACCCTGGAAACAAGAGTCAACCCCAGAAGAAGGCCTGGCTAGGATAGTTGTGACAGAAAAGCCTGAAACAGTGGCTCTGTAAAAACCACAGAGCTGCAGGGCAGGGGAGGCCTCCATGCTACAGACTAGCTCAGCAAAGAATCAGAAAACACTGGAAAGAGAAGGTAGGCTGATGTCATTGACTTGCAGGGAAATTCTACCAGACACTGTGGAAAGTTTCTAGAAAAAATAAATAAATAAAATAAAATGAATTAGGCAAAAGTGAAAACCCAGTTCCTGACTTTCAGGACAAAACAAACAAACAAACAAACAAACAGAAAAACAATACTGAAATACACCATGTACAGTCTGTTTGCATATACCAAGCTACATAGTCATAGAAGTCATAGAAGATTTTAATGTCACCATGATGAGATCGTAGGGAGAAGGAAGCAGAGAAGATGACAAAGGAAGATAAATTCCCAGCTACATGTGGTGGTACACTTCTGTAATCCCAAAAGTTGGGAGGACTGGGAGTTTAAGGTCATTCTCAGCTACATAATTAGAGGCTAGCCTTGGCTACCAAAAAAAAATTAGCTGTAATAAAAGAAAGAGAGACACATTCTTACAGATTCCATAAGAAGTCTGTAAGAACTGTCTAAAATTGCTAAATCAAACAATATATTTTTATATGCTACCAAAATATGATGACACACATTCTACAATCTCCATAATGAGACACTATTTCAGAGAGAGAGAAAGAGAAAGATTGAGAGAGGGGGGAGAGAGGAGAGAGAGGAGAGAAAGGAGAGAGAGAAAGATAGATAGATAGATAGATAGATAGATAGAGAGAGAGAGAGAGAGAGAATACTCTGGTGAGATGGTTTGCAATGATCTGAGTTCAATCCCAGGGGCCTACGTGGTAGAAGAAGAGCTGACTCCCGAAGGTTGTCCTCTGACCTCGCATCCATGGGATGGCTTGCATGGGTATGTACAACATTACACATGTGCACACAAAATAAACTTTTAAAAAGAGAAGAAAAGAATGGAAGAAAGGAAGGTGTGTTTGTTCCTAGAAAATAGCAGAAAGCATTAAAAACTGTACTGTTGGGCTGGGGTGGCTTGTGGCTAACAGCATTCACTGCTTCTGCAGAGGTCCTGGGCTTGTTTCCTGCACCCACATGGCAGCTCTCAACCATCTGGAACTCTGTTTGCAGGGAATTCAGACCATCTTCTGGCCTTTGCAGGATCCTGCATGTGCATGGCACACCTACATTCTCAAAGGTTCCCATTTTAAAAACATATGTGAGGCAGGGCTAGCACACAGTATGGCAGGAAATCATTGACCTTGCCTTATAGTTTAGTATAACCTCATTTTTAAAAGTACATTTTACATAGATTAAAAAAAATTAAAGCACTGTAATGCATTTTCTGGAGGCAATACAAGGTTACCCATAGTTATGATAGTAAGCTTATCACATTACTTTTACATCTTGATTTTTCTCTGCCCATGGAAAAAGTGACATGAAATCATCCAGCGTGTCCACAACAGCATCAACTTGACATTGCTCCAACTCTGTCTTCCCAGCCAAATCTATGGGACAGAAAGAGGTCATTTGGTATCTACCGACATGCTCAATTTAACTTACTATTAATGTGTCAACTAGACAACATATTCATACTTAAAAAAAAAAAAAAAACGCAGACTGTAAAACTGTTGTGAGGCAGAAGACAAAGGTTGGTGGTGGGGCTGGGAGAAAATTCTAGAAGTTTATTCCCCATTCTCTTTTTTGCAGCTTGAAAAACATCTGGGAAGAATCTGGTTCCAGCTTTAGCCATAAAGTTTCAACTTTAAAAATGATACAATGTCTTAACCCTGGGACAACAAAATGCCTTGACTGGGAGCCAGACAGGACTCAGTCTCAGACTGTTCGTCTCTCAGCCAAGCTAGAAAGGAGATAACAAAGGCAATTGAAGCTGAATCCTGGGAACTGGGGCTGGGGATGGTGAGATACCCTCTGACCCTCTGAGGTTAAACGGTCTGAGGTTGCGATACATTGTTTCTGTTTGTTCGTGATACATTGTTTCTGTTTGTTCGTGATACATTGTTTCTGTTTGTTCGTGATACATTGTTTCTGCTTGTTCATGATACATTGTTTCTGTTTGTTCCAACACATTGTTTCTGTTTGTGATACATTGTTTCTGTTTGTTTGCGATACATTGTTTCTGTTACAGGGCATATTCTTCCTTGTAGGCACATTCCATTCAAATTGAAACATTTCCTTAAAGAGGAAAGCCAGGCTCGAGAGACACTCCGAAGTTTAACAACAATAACAACAACAACAACAAAGCAAAAAACAAAAACAAAAAAATCCCCCAAAACAAAAAACAAACCCAAAAAACAAAAACAAACAAAAAATCTGGAAAAGAGGAAAAGAAAATCACAAAAACTTGCAAGATCCTTAAGACAACTTTTATTTTAAATGTTATGTGTATTAGTATTTTGCCCATTTGCATGCAATTGCACCACAGTTCAGAAGAGGGTATTACATTCCCTGGAACTAGAGTTAGGCACAGTTGTGAGCTGCTTGATGGGTACTGGGAACCCAGCCTGGCTTTTCTGGAAGAACAGTCTGTACTCTAATTGCTAAGCCAGGCCCAGTGTACAAGATCTTCAAAGCCTTCAATGGAAAAGAGTAAACTGTGGCTGGAGATTTTTTTTTTCTTTTAATTTATTTCACTCATTTGTTAATAACTTTTTCTAATACTTTCTAGATAATTTTGTCTAAGTCATTCATTTTTCTAAACTTTTCCTCATTGGTGTCAATTTGAAATGACTCAGTATGAGTCTTGTAAAACTGACTGCTTTTGTATAACTGTATTAAATTACTAAGCACAAGAAACTGTGCTGACAATGCATGGCTCATATAAACAAAGCCTTAGTGATGCTGTTCAGGGTGAAGGATCGTGCTTGCTTCACGTGTACTTGTAACTTCCTGTGTGGTTTCCAAGGATTGATTCTCCTCATTAACCTGAAAAGAGAAAGCACAAGCCCCTCACTGTCCCTCAGCCCGGGTTTGACTTCTTTGATCTAGGCTTTAGCTGTTACTTTTGTGCAGTTGATGCTTCTGTAGACATTCATTCCCCTAAGCTGCAAGCAGCTCTCAGGCTCCTTCACAATATGTAAAGCTGTTTTCCCTCCTGAATTTCCAGCATCAAATTATGCAGACACCACATCTCTTTTGCATTCCAGGAGGGCATGCCGCCTGCTGTGAATTGGTCCCACAAGAGCCCCGGTATGTATTGAAAGGGAGAGGCTCCTGCATGCCAGGCAAAGCTGACAGGGAATGGGATATTGCAACCTGAGGGGAGTCTTTCCAAAGAACAGAGAGAGAAGACTGGAGGGGTAGTGGGTATCCCCAGTGCTCTGAGAAAAACCTGCCCACTGTGCTCTCCTGCCTTCTCTGGGGTCCAGCCCTACAGAGCTTGTGTATACTTTCACTTTCTGAGTCGCCACACTCCTCCTCCTGATGCCATCTGGACCATTTCAAAGCCCTCTAATGTGTGTCCCACAGTCACGACTACCAAGAACTATCATCAGGGCTGGAGAGATGGCTCAGAGCTTAAGAGAACTGGCTGCTCTTCCAGAGGTCCTGAGTTCCATTCCCAGCAACTACATCGTGGCTAACAGTCACCTGTAATGAGATCTGGTGCCCTCTTCTGGTGTGCAAGCAAACACACAGGCAGAACACTATACATAATGAATAAATAAATAAATCCTAAAAAACAAAAAAACAAAGACCAAAAAAAAAAAAAAAAAAAAAAAAAGAACTATCACCAGAATCATTGTCCTGCAGTCAGACCCAGTGTGCTGCCTCTCTGGGTGACGACCTACAATTGTTAGGGATGTTCATACCCTAGATTTTCTAACTAGGTCCAGTGTATTTTGCTAAGTCACCCTCTTTCTCTACCCTGCACACATGAAGGTTTGGCTTGTTTGTTTTTCTTGTGCGCTTTCCTCTGTACTTGTAATGCTGTAGTCTGGTGAGTCTAAGTGAGGTCCATTTGCCATCTCAACACTATCTGGGAAGTCCTTAAAAATGCAAACTTTTCAGGGCCCTCCTCCACCTCTGGAATCAAATCTGGAAGCAAGGAAGAGTGGATGTGTTCCATGAAGTTCCGAGGAGACCTTGATGCTCATTAAGGGCGGAGGTCTTGGGACCCCAGGTTTCCCCCGAGACTTGATTCAAATACCCTTTTCTCTTCTAAGTCCAGCTTTGGAGACATACTCCATTGACTCTTCTCAAACCTTCATTGTTGAAATATCTGTTGGTTTTTGTATGCTTAAACTTTTAAAATTTATTTTATCTTATGTGTATTAGTTTACCTTCATGTTTGTAAGTATGTTTACCATGTGTGAGCCTGGTGCCCACAGGGATCAAAAGTCATTATCAGATCCCTTGGAACTGGAGTTTCAGATAGTTGTGAGCCACCTTGTGGATGCTGGGAACGGAAACCAGGTCCTCTGCAAGAGCAACACATACTCTGAATGCGGAGCCAAGTCTCCCGCCCCTTTTATGTGGTTAAAATAAGCATCTTTGTTCCTAAAACGGGAGCCTAATCATTACAGGTCACTCGGGTGCTCAGCGTGCTCGGGTCATACGGTGGTAGCAGTGGGCTGAGAGTGGAAACGGTGATTCTAGCATGCTAATCAAAACGAAAAAGGCTTTAAAAGAAATGCAAAATTGCCTTTTTTACTAAAAATATTCTCAAGTGGGAAGAACAGGAGAGGGGGATTTGGAAGTGGAGCATGATGAGGGGAAGGCAGGGCCCACCTCTGCGACCTCGACTCATTCCACCTTTCACGGACTAAGGAGGCCTCCGTGGAGAGTCAGCAGAGGAAAGGATGCCCCCTTCCTGTGCTTCTCAGCATGCTCAGAATGAGCGGCAATGAATTATAATTCCGACAGTCCAACAAGTTCCAGCCTTCTTGTGCTGTATGCATTTCTGTCTAAATTCTAACGCTCAATACTAGCATGACCAACCAATCCAATTTTCCAGCTAGAGTCTAGAAATGCTAGAATGGCGATCTGGTGTGATACAGGAGGGGATGGGTACCTTATAACGAGAGACGATGTGGTCTGATATGATATGGCAGCACACGCCTGTCATCTAAGCATGGGGTAGGCTGTTACAGAAAGATCAGAGATTTAAGGCCACTGTGGGTTATATAGCAAATACCCGCTGCCAAACCAAAACTACATAGGAAGACCCTGTCTATAAAAATATAAAGTAACAAAAAATAAAATAGCTGTCTAAAGTATTCATAGAAAGTGTTACTGATGTGGATTTACAATGTTGTGATCTTCGGAGCCTTTTCTAATTGTACCATAGCTAAACAATGTGCTTATTAAACAAATATCAAAGAAACATCACGACTTTTTTTCAGTTATCCAAAACCTTAACCATAGTGAGTACATTACCTGTGTTTTTAGTTAAGTATCTTGCTATAGCAAGACTCTGGTGAAGCATAAGTCCTCCCACCTCCAAAACAGGGATTTTGCCAAACGGAAGCGCTGAGACAGAACAGGACAAGAGTCAGCTTCAGAGCAGACCCAGAAATGCTGAGAGAAGCCAGCACAATAGAAACAAGGTACCATATAAAGTCATGAAAGTCTTAAATACAGAATATACATATACATGCATATACATTTATAAACTTAAAAATGCACTTGCTTTAAGAAGCACTATATTGTTGCAAGGTCATGGACATCATGTGGTTACCATTCCACAGGACGAATTCTTTCATGAATTCCAGCGGGTCATAGATGGGTAGATGCTAGGGTGGGTGTACTGGGTGGTTCTGTGTGTCAACTTGACACCAGCTCTAGCATCATCAGAGGGAGGAGCCTCAGCCGAGGAAGTGCCCCTTTGAGATCTGGTTGCAAGGCATTTTCTCATTTAGTGGTCAGTGGGGGAGGGTCCTGGGTTGTATAAGAAAGCAGGCTGAACAAGCCAGGGGGAGCAAGCTAGGAAACAACTCCTCTCCATGGCCTCTGCATCAGCTCCCATCTACTGGATCCTGCCCTGATTTCCTTCAATGATGAGCACAATGCTGAAGTGTAAACCTAGTAAATGCTTCCCTCTGCAACGTAATTTTTGGTCATGGTGATTTTGTCACAGTAATAGAAACCCTAACTAAGACGGTGAGCCAACCCAAGGCCCAAGATGTGGGTCTGGACTGTAGTTAAGCTGGTCACTCCAGGCCATTGGGACTGCCCGCTAAGGTGAGGGGGCAGAGGCAACTTGCCTAGGCCTATGACATCTGGGCCAGCTCTCCCAAGCCAATGGTGAGGGGTGGGGCCATCTCTCCTCAGGCCAGCTGTGGTGTGTGTGTGTGTGTGTGTGTGTGTGTGTGTGTGTGTTTGGGGACACTCCTGCTGCAGTGTGCATCCACCGAGGAGCAGGACCAGCTATCCCAGAACCAGTGAAGGTCAGGGCCAGCTTAGCAAGGTCCTCGGATTTCAACCACAAGATTTCCATGGCTGGGACAATAGCAGGATATCTGAGGGGAATTTTAGTGAGGGTCTAGTGATGACAGTGTGCTAGAGGTCTTGAACCAGAGCAAAGACTCCTTGCAATGAATTTTTTTTTTTTTTTTTTTTTTTTTTTTTTGTGGGACTCATTGGACAAAAGAGTATACTGTGTGATACACCGTAGTTCCTGATGCCACTACAGTGAATGAAGAGGTGTTGGAGAGTTTGGAAAGGAGGAGCAAGGTGAGGATTTTGTTTGTTTTGAATTGTTTTTTTGGAGGCAGTTCTTTTGGGGGGCATGCTACAGGGATGAGGGGTGGACATAGAGGGACTGGGAGGTGAGTGGGATTGGGTGTACATGATATGAAATTTTCCAAGAATCAAAAAAGAATTGTGTTTAAAAATAAAAAAAGCTCCATCCAAACCCCTTAAAACATTTCTTCTTAAAAGGGAAAATTTCACATTCTCTAATGCTGTCTTTACATTTTTGTGGATTTGAAAATTGGATATAAAGCCAGTTAAAGGACTGGTTGTAAAAACCATGCATGTGCCTGTGCATGGGACATGGAGCTCAGTTGGTAAAGTGCCTGCTAATATGCATGAGGCCCCCCAGCCTCTGGGTTTGAGCCCCAGCATTGCTACAGTGGATGTGCTGGCTTATGCCTGTAACTCTCAAATTTGTGAGGCGAATGTAGGTGGACCATGAGGTCTAGATCATTTTAGGTGCTGAGTTTGGACAATGTCTCAATTTAAAAACAAACAATAACAAAAAAAAATGTTTACAGGGATACCACAAGTTAGACTCCAGCATCCTCTCATTTATTGATTTATAGATTTACTACTTTTAAAAACTCTTACTTATTTATGAGTGTTTTGCCTGCATGTATGGGAGTATACCGTGTGTGCAGTGCCTTTGGGGGCCACAAGTGGGAATCAGAACTCCCAGAACAGAAGCTACAAATGGTTGTGAGCCACTGCGTGGGTCTTTTTCAAGAGCAGCAACTGCTCCTGACCAGTGATCCACCTATTTATCCACAGACTTAATTTTTAAAAAAGCCGGAGTTTTAAAGCTTCATTAATCTCATAGTCTCAAAATAGATCACACGCGTTACTACAAAACATATTCCAACAATTACAGAATTTGGCTTACACATGGGCTAAAGAAGTTTTTTCCTAGTCTTACTTTGATGAAGAGCATTGTGGAGTATATAACAAAAGACAGAAGCATTTTGTACAAATATAAGACAGTCATAGCACATAATGTTAATGCTTTATCAGTTACTTCCATCTTTTTCTTACTTGAAATTCTTTTGTGAGAAAGCAATATACTTTTATTACAGAAAATGTATAAAACTTAAACAGAAATATTTCTACCAGGCATAGTGATTATAGTAGTCTAATTAACTTTCCATGTTGTGTTAGTTCATCTGGTCAACTTGATTACATTTGGGGATGCCTGCATTTGCACTCACACTTTGATTAGAGTGAGGGCTGCCTGCATTTGCACTCACACTTTGATTACAGTGAGGGCTGCCTGCATTTGCACTCACACTTTGATTAGAGTGAGGGCTGCCTGCATTTGCACTCACACTTTGATTAGAGTGAGGGCTGCCTGCATTTGCACTCACACCTTGATTAGAGTGAGGGCTGCCTGCATTTTCACTCACACTTTGATTAGAGTGAGGGCTGCCTGCATTTGCACTCACACTTTGATTACAGTGAGGGCTGCCTGCATTTGCACTCACACTTTGATTACAGTGATGGCTGCCTGCATTTGCACTCACACTTTGATTACAGTGATGGCTGCCTGCATTTGCACTCACACTTTGATTACAGTGATGGCTGCCTGCATTTGCACTCACACTTTGATTAGAGTGAGGGCTGCCTGCATTTGCACTCACACTTTGATTAGAGTGAGGGCTGCCTGCATTTGCACTCACACTTTGATTAGAGTGAGGGCTGCCTGCATTTGCACTCACCACCTGTCTGTGAGGGTCTTTCAGCAGACATCACATGGTGAGTCTATGATCCAGTGAACAGTTTATTCTATTGACTAATTCTAGTTGCAGATGCACTGTGTGAGGCGGATGTGCGGGAGGGAGGCAGGGCCTTGATGGAGGAACTGGGCAGCTGGGGACCTGCCTTCCACCCCTGTCTTCATCTCCCCATTGTTTCCCCTGCTCTGCTTGCTGCTCTCACAGGATGAGCAGTTCTGTCCTACCATACCCTTCCCACCGCATGTCTCTCCCCAGGCCTCAGGCAGTGAGCAGACTGCACAGAAACCTCTGAATACATCCCTCCTTCTCTACATTCTTTCTCCATTTCCGTCACACCCATGAAAAACTAACATATATTTATTTTTTTAAAAAACATCAATGCATGTGATATTTTTATACAAATTCCTTTTTTTTTTTTTTTTTTTCACTTGATGCTATCTTTCTGGATCAATGGACCACCATCATTTCAATGATCGTGAGGTGATTCATCATGTGTATTGACCACAACTTCCCAAACAATACCTTAGGTTTGGGCACATAATTATTTTGATAAGATGTAAAAGAATGAAGCATAGATTGTAAGTCATCTACCTCACACCAGGACTGGGACCAAGCCTCTATACATACACCCTGTAAGTACCAAGTCAATGTCTTCTTTTTTTTTTTTTTTTTTTTTTTTTTTTGCCAGCTATTTTCACTTTGGGAAAAAGCACAGCTTTGATTACTGACCCAGTGAGTAAAGCAAGTGCTGCTCAAAGCGTTAAGGTTCTGTGAGCATGAGGAAGTCCCCAATAAAATGGACATGAACTGATGGGATTCAAACAATCGCGAGGTGACATATGGAGCTGGAAAGTGAACACCAGACGAAAATGACACATGCTCACCTGCCTTCAAGCACTCAACCCTGAGTGATGGGCGTTAACTACCGTCTCATTTTACAAACAAGGAAACGATGTTGGGGGAAGTTTATGTAAACTAGCATATTAGCCTGTAAATTGCATCTTGGTAGAAGTGCTATTTAAACTGAGGTCAGTTGCCCAGCTGTTTCTGTACAGAGAGCAGTAGGGACCTGTAGACTTTACATAAACTGCTGTTCCTCAATGTGAAGCTCTGTAGGATGGGGCTTGTGTTTCCAGGAAGAAGGATGAAAACCTTTAAGCACATTTTCCTGGCAAAAATCTGAACGATTTGTGCTACTTACTTGGTTTGATTTGGGGCCAGTCCGCTTGTTCTATTCTGTGATCTTCATACTTTATGTCTAAGTAAGCGAATATATAACGAATAATTTCTGCTCTCCCCCTCATATTAAAATAAATCAGTTTGTAGTTTGGCATGGTACAATTCTGAAAAGAAAAAAAAAAGCGAGGTAGCATTTTTTTCTTCATTTTTTAACCCTTTGACAGTTTCATACCTGTATGTGCGTATCAAGAATATTGGCCGTTCCTTCCAGTTACTCTCTTTCATCCTCTCTTCTTCCTCTCCTGCTGAAACTGTTCTTCCCAACAAAGCTTGAACTTACTGATTGTGGGTCTGTGTGTGTGTGTGTGTGTGTGTGTGTGTGCGCGCGCGCGCACGTGCACGCGTGAAAGGGTTCCAGAGAGGATGTAAAGATCAGGTGAGCAGAAGCTTGAGTAGACACCCAGATGGGAGGACTTTGCAAATATCACTAATCAGAAAATTTCTTTATCTGTGCAGATTTTGAAGACATTCACGATTTCTCAAGAGACACAGATTACACTATTTTGTCCTGGGCATACTTCTCTAGTATGCCTGAGGTTACAGGTTAAGTCTAGCTAGAACAGATTTTATTATCAACCGCATATTCCTATTCCTATAATGATCTGTAGATCATTTCAGCTTAACCAAGAATATTATAGTAGCCTGTTCTTGGGCTGGCAACAGTTTTCGGCTTCATGATGTTTTAGATAATATGTGATTCAGTCCAGACCAATCACCACATTTTGAGCAGTATATTATTAACTTTTGACAGTCAGTCAAATTACTTGCAAATAAGACTAAGCCTCAGAATTTTCTTCTCAGGCTTAGGAACCATTGTATCTATTATTCAATTCTCAATAATATGTTTATTTATAATCTTGTCAGAATTTGTTAAATAAAAGAATTCTTTCGATTCTAAATTAGGTAACATCACAGCAACCTGATGTAAATCAATCTTTCTAGGAATAATAAATCTTCTTTTTAAAAATTGTATTTATTTATTTTATATACAGTGTTCTGTCTGCATGTTTGCTTGCAGGCCAGAAGACAGCACTAGATCTCATTACAGATGGTTGTGAACCACCATGTGGTTGCTGGGAATTAAACTCAGGACCTCTGGAAGAGTAGTCAGTGCTCTTAACCTCTGAGCCATCTCTCCAGCCCCAAACGAAAAATCTTAATACCTTACTTTTCTTATATTCTTCTATGTCATTCTTACACTACCTATATAATGCTGCTATGCTATCTTAGTCATTTTAGCTCTTATTGCTGAATTCTTTTTAGAGACCTAATACATACATGATCCTCTATCGTGTAGATTATGTTTCTAAGGAATTCTAAGTACAATGTGGAAGGAGTTCTGTGCTCTGATCTGCTGATGTTTCTATACTGCTGAACCTTGTCAGCCTCTTCTGGATTCATAGGGTTCTAACTATTTTGTTCTTGAGTTTGTGTAGGGGCAGATAACAATCTCCAAGGCACAGAGCAGAACCCCAAGTAGGGTCAACCAAGGTTATTTCCCTGAATCAGAAGATAGTATGTTCAGGACTTCTTCAGGGCTATACAGAAACAATTTTCTCAGAAAAGACATGAATAAATCATTATGCTAATAGCCTCCCCAAGAGTGTAACACACAGAGATTGAAACTCACAGTAAAGGGCATCAGGTCATTGCACATGGCTCAGCTTTGCTGGAACTTTGTCACACAGCTATGCTGGCTTCATGATTTTCTCTGTTCCCCTAGGAGGTTTCTGTGCCAGCTTGTAAACTCTCAAAGTGAGACTACAGGAACCTCATAAAGTTTTAATGACTACATTCACCAAATGTAACTGTGGAGTGTATGCAGTGTTATAGTGACTGGGAAACAAACAGACATTTTCACTTGGAGTTGAATTCTGCTTACTTACTCTGTATCTTCAGGCTAGTTTATAGAGGTTTCCTGAATTACAAAGCCTACTTAATAATACAGATTTTAATATAGATTTTAGACAATAAGAGTTATATAGGTAAAATTCATAGTATAATAGTAAGCTGTTATTACGATTAATAATTACATTAATCACTTATATTGTAGACAAGAATAATCGTTGGCTACCACTTACTGATACAATAATTGTAGCAGGTACATGACAATTTTCATTTAAAGTTATGAATTACACGAGGGTCCATGAAGGTGTGCCAGTGGCCTAGAACCAGACCAGTGAGAATTTTGTGGGTGGCGCTGATTGGATAAAGAGGTACACTGGGCAACACACTGCGGCTCCCAATGCCACCAGGATGAATGGAGAGGTTTTGCAAAGATGGAGGAGTGAGGCGGTTTGTTTATGTGTTTGCTTTGAATTCATGTTTTTAAGGAACTCTTCTTGGGGGGAGGTTGCAGAGCTGAGGGGCAGACATGAAGGTCCTGGGGGGTGAGTGGAATTGGGGTGCTTGAATTATGTTATTAAAAAAAGTGGCTAATTAAAATGGTTTATTTTCTGGGTAGTAAAATGGCTGCGTAGATCTGATGACCCTAAATGCACGTGCTGCGTAGATCTAATGACCCACCCGCGTTCCATATGTGGAACCCATGTCAAAAAGTCCTATGTGCTGGCTCATGTCTGTAATCCTAGCTCCAGCACTGCTGTGGTCAGGTTGGGGCAGAGACAGGAGAATGGGCTAAAGCTCAGTGAATTCAACACAGTGGCAGAAAAAACAAGATAGACCCTGCCTCACAAAACAAGATGGAGAGAGCGATAACTCCCTCCCCATCAAAACCGGTAAGCTTGCTTGCTAGCTAAGGCTGGCCACCTGTGTTCTATATTTAGAAAAGCCATAAGTGCAAAAAAGGAGAGAACCGACTCTATAATGATCAGAAATAACTTCCACATATGCACCATGGTACACATGCATTATGTACACACACACACACACACACACACACACACACAAGTGTGCACACACAAACATGAAGACAATAATTAGTTAATTAAAGTGTAAGGTAATAAAGATCATTTAGAAATATACATTATGAAATTACAATTTTTGCTAGAAAATAAAAATATTTGTTACAGTTCTTTGATACATTTGTTTTAAGTATCAGAAGAACAAAATAGCCCACAGAGTGTGAAACTGTCATTCCTGGTTGTAGTTTGCAGTGAAGAGCTTTTGTAAGACTTGGTTATCATATACCAGTTTCTGCAGCACAGAAAGTAATTTATTTCTTCTTAATACATTGTATATATGAACAGATACATATGTCCACTGCATATGCATTTCAAAATTAAATCTGCAACTTATTCCAGTCAAATGTCCTCTGCACATTTCAGTGACTGCCTCGTGACTTCTGCACAAAGGGGTTGTTTTATTATTATTAAGGGGCTATGCTACTTTACATTGTAGTTCACTCAGAGCAGACTTTTAAATTTCTTAGCTATCTGTATTTCTCTGGAAACATCTTCAGTATGAGATTTAGAGATACAAGCACAACTGACGAAAGCTTATCTTTCCCTCTGGAACGTTCTTTTAATGGCTGTGGCATGACAGAAGCCATGCTTGCACATCACCCTTTTCTGTCCCTGCATGAGCTCCTTCCATTCCAAGGGAAAACTCCTGTTCTACGGGTGTAAAACTCCAACTTGTGCTTGTCAGGTTAGATATGTGTATTTTGGCAACGCTGAAAAACAGGTCAAGATAAATGCGGCGGGAAATAATTACTGACTCTAAAATATTTAATATATTTAATAAGGCTTTGCACAAAACTAAGGAATTCCAAATAAATGTGTCTACAACCAACAAAATATTGAAAGAAATTTTACAGTAAACGCCAAGAGAAGTTTTAGTACCCTATCTCTCTGTATAGCCGCCGCTCCCCCCCACAACTCTTCACTAAGCAGTTCATGTCTGTGATCATAATCCCACTCTTAAAACATGCCTGCTTCAAATATCTGACCAGATGCACTGAGCTGCAAGGCCAGGAGGGAGAGATCAGGAGATAGTGTGGGGGACTCACCCCTGCCACATACTGTCTCAGTGACCGTGGACACCTCTCTTTCTATCTTTAGCTTCTCCCGCTATTGAAAACATTACCCAAAAAGCCGCCATCTATTGGAACTCAAGGAGCCCAGCCCGTCCTCAAGTTCATGCGTGGTTGCTGTAGGGGCAGTCATTGTCTTCGGGGGTGTGGTCATCATGTTTGAGTGGATAGCTTCACATTAGTGTCCAGATTAAGTTCACTGAGTTCACAGATTAAGTTCACAAGGACAAAGTGAAATGAAGGCATGGGGGGGGGTGGTGGTGGCGAAGGCTTGTTCCCAGGAAGGGGCTTGGTGGGGGGAGATGAAAGAGGCGGGGTGAGTGTGACGTGAAATTAGTATATACATGTATGCAATTGTCATAGAATACATTAATTTAAACAGAAGTCCCCATACAGCATGTGACGTACAGGGTGAGCTCAGAAGACACGAAAGAGGGGAGGGGAAACACAGGGTTCTTTCTCATAGTGAAGGGCATGATCCAAATTTAGATGATCTCACTGGACTCACCACATCTTCATGTTATTTGAGAAATCACCCTGCTGCTAGCACAAAGAAATGGAAAGTTGAAATTTAAAAAGAAAAGTTAAACAAAATATATGGTTACACTCAAAAACAAAATAACAAAAGGCTCGCTCATACTAGCAGCAAAAATAGTTCAAAGGCCATAAGCTAAACTACTCGAAGGGCAGAATTAAGAACTGTGTAAGGTAACAAACCAATTAAAAAAAAGAGAGTAGAAATGAAGACTAACAGGGCAATTAGCTACTGCCATGGCTGTAAAGGCAAAGTTTCCTACCTCACAAAGGTAAAGGAGATCCTTATTTTCCAGTAGCTTCAAGGAGAGAAAAAAAAAAACCCAGAAATTTAAAAGAAAATTTTAGATAATTTCGTTAGCATGCATTGAAACATCATAAATATCAATTACTCAACATTAGTAGTTTGAGAATAGACTAGTGCAGCAACAAAGGAACGGTGTCACCTTATTCTGGTAGATGTTCCTTCTATGTGACTTCTCTAACAGGTAAAAACAAGCCACACTGAGAGCTTAACAAAGGTTAAGTAATGGTTTTCAAAGTCATTTATGGGCTGGACAGATGGCTCAGGGCTGAACACATTGCTCTTGCAGAGGACCCAGTAGAGGACCTCACTACACTGTGTGACTCACAACTCCATCTTCAGGGCATCTGATGCCTTTGATCTCTGAGGGCATCTGCGCTCATGTGCACATACCCACACAGAGACACACAATAATAAACTTAAATCCTCTGAAAGACAGTACACATTCAGTTATGATCAAAACTCTGAAAAAAAAAATTAAAAACCCCTTAACCAACCAGGAATTGTGAAAAAATTCTTAGACCCCATGAATAGTCTCGACTGAACATTTGAAGCAATTTCCTTCCTTCCTTCCTTCCTTCCTCCCTCTCTCTCTCCCTCCTTCTCTACCTCTCTTCCTCCCTCCATCTTTTCTTCTTTTCTTTTGCTGTTTTATTCTAGAATTTTTTCCAACACAATATTTTTGTTGATTATTGGGAAATTTCACATACTGCATCCTGATCATACTCACTTCCCTGCCTCTACCTGTGTGACTTCTCACACACAAAAAAGAAGAAACAAAAACAAAAATCAACAAAACCCAAACAAATTCAGTTTCTTTAATGTCAAAAATCACCATACTTACTACATCTCCAATCCTGAGCAGACCAGTTAATTTAGCAAAATAAGATGGCAATAAATAATGTAAGGAACATCAAGGAAAAGATGACTGTCATCTACATTCAAAAGTCCAGACCGATCCACTAGTAAACTTGGTTGTAATTTCTAATGATGGATTAAGGACCAAAATAGCTAAAAGTAAAAGAGCCAAGGGAGCGGAGGTTGTGGAAATGCCTTGTAAATAAGGTGATATGGTATTTGTTCAAGTCTAGAGCTATAAAATCGTGAAACAAAACTGCTCATTTATGAATATCACATTGCAGTGGGAGGGGACACAAAGGGGAAATACTAAATATATATATATATATATATATATATATACACACACATATATATATATATATATTTAGACTCTATTTTTCCTCATTCAAGAAATGCCACATACCTTTAATCCCAACAGTCAGTGGGCAATGGCAGACAGATTTTTAATGTCAACACTTAGTAGGCAGAGGCAGGCAGATCTCTATGAGTTTTAGGTTAGCATGATCTACAGACATTCTAGAATAGCCAGGACTAAGTAGAGAGACTTTGACCCAACCAATCAACCAACCAACCAACCAACCAAAAAGGCCACTCGGGTTATTTGGCTATGATTTGGCTGACCCTGATTTGGATAGAGCCTGAGACCTCTGGCATCATACCAGGCTCATTTTTCCTGGTGCTTTCATTTCTGAACTTTCTGCTCCCATGCAATTGTATTTCACATAGGAAAAATTGCATTTACTCCCTGAAGGGAATAGAAAGTAAAACAAGTTTATCTACTTTCTTAACACTCCAAGGAAGGCCATGCAAAGTTCCTGATTGAGTGGATAGATATCTGGAAAATATTTCCTCAGCACAGGACTGAGAAATAAAGCCCCTGGGTAAAGCATCCAGTCACAAACATATTGATTTCTATCCAATATAAGATTAAATTCTTAGTATTTGCTAAACTTGTAAGGAAACAATATTTCCCATGGTTAACAGAGCTTTGTAGAAGCACTCTGTCTTGTGTATTTCCATTCTATTAGGTTTGTAGCTATTTTTACTTTACATAATACTGATATTTTTAACTGATTGTAAGAAAAACATGGAAGCAGTTAACACAGTGGCAGTTTTAGTGTGATTTTTGATTGAATGTGAATTATGGTAAAATCATTTAAACTTGAATAGGTGGGTGTCTTATTCTGACTAAGAGAATATAGTTAAACTGTAGTCTAATATATTTAGTCTATATGCCAGAAAGACTATAGAAATCCAAAGCCCACTATAGGGAAGAAAGAGGTTAATATTAAACTGCTACATTAAAATACTACTAAAAGTTTCTTCAGATAAAAACGGGACAATGCTTTTGGAATAGTTTCTAAGGGTAAAAAACTTACAAATAAGATACAATACTTTTATAATTTCTTCTATTTTCTATTTTTTTCTTATCAGTTTTCTGGCTTGCAGCACTTACCTCAGTACCATCAGTCAAAGAGGCTGGCCATGGAAACTCAAACCATGCATTTATCTCTTGACATAGATGACTGAGTTTGCCTTTTTTATTCACACTTTACTATTTCATGACAATCAACTTAACCTTCTTTCTCTTATGCTTGCTCTTCTGGGAAGTGGTGTAAGACTTTTTCCACGTCTTAACACCGCCAGAAGGGTGGACTGATTTTGATTGTTGGAGTCAGACAAAGTCCCACCATCTTCCCTCTGGTTACCAGAGCCTTTGCTGATTGGGAGGAATGCCTTCCTTATTCTGGATCTTGGCCTTTACACCTTCTATAGTGCCTGTGGTTCAGGCTTGAGCATGATAGTCTTCTCCATAAGGGTCTTTACAACAGTCTGCATCTTAGCCATGATTTCACCACAGATGGCCAGTTGCAAAGGGAATTTTATAATTTATTTAACAACAATGGCCTAACTGAGCCCTCACATTTCAATACAAGAAGACATTTGGAACTCAAAGATACTTGGAGCTTCCTGCCAAGTTCTTTCCACACGTCCAGCAATTCTGCAATAACTTGAGTCTCAAGTACATAGCCTAGAGCATCTGTGGACATGTCAATAATTCCTTTGTAGTGTGTCTTAACCCCACCAACAATCTATTCAGTGCAGTGAATGTGGCACAACGTTTGTACCTTGTTTGTGTAGACTCTCCTATAAAGTGCAGAAGCTGGATACAGAGGGCCACTGAGGGGCTATTCTATACAGGAGACAAACTTCTTGTACATGTTGGCATCTAGTAATAGCAGCCATTGCTCCCTAACAACTGGGGGGATGGACAGTACACTGACTTCCATTATTTCATAGTGCCCAGGTAACATTTTTAGTTCAGATCTGGACAATTTACCAGATTGGAGTGAGAAGTTTAGATCAAGAGAGAAATAGAAGGAGCCTTATTAACTATGTTGCTGATTTCAAACACTGGATGAGAAAGTATGTTGGGATCTCTATTTTTTTCTTTTTTAATAAAGAACAACAAAATACTACTTTAGAGGCTTGTCTCCCATTAACATTTATACACAAAGAATAACTAAACTGCTATTTAGGAGCTTTTAGCTCAAGTTTCTGAACTGAGGTAAATCTCACTATCTTTAGACCCAAATGGTGATAGAAGATAATTCTTGGCCAAGCATGGACACATTTCAACAAAATATGCCTCAAAGTGATAGAATGTGATGCAAATCAAATCCCTGAACTTAGAAAAAAGGGACCATAAATGAAATTTTATATCGCTTCACACACTAAGGAAAGCCACCCAGGAGAGTTCTGAAGACGTTATAAAATCTGCTCCAGACGGGATATTTTCCTCTCCAATAGTGACAATATTTTGGGAATTTTTTAAACCTCCTGATATATGCTTCTCTTACAGATTGTCATTTGATTTCCACACGAGCTGAGGCCACACACATCACACAACGGTCCCAAGCTGGGAAAAACAGGGAAGGAGTAGAACCGAAAGAATTGAGAATTCTCACCACTTACCTGTGCAGACAGTAGCTAGCGTCACTTTCTTGTGCCCTGTCTCTGTCCCGGTTCGTGTCTGCACTGTGGTTTCAGTGAAGTGATAGTCACATGATAAGAGGCTACTTCCTCCACTTTCTAAACCCTTCCTTCGTTTCTCACATGAAACACACATCACCAGCGCTCAGCCTGTCAAGGCTTCTGTGTGGCTTTTGCCACCATTTCATAAGCTCTCTGTGAATAAATCCAACACATTTGCATAAAGTCACAGACGCAGGTGTTCATGTGTACAGATTTCTACACGCTCTTTCTTCTTGTTCTTACACCACGGGCTTCTGGGGAAGGAGAGAACAAGTTCAGTCACATTCTCTTGCCTTCCCTCTTCATTTCAGGCTCCCCGGAGAGCCCTTTGTTCTTCTCACAAGAGCCCACCTCCACCTCACTCACCCTTCACTCACCATATGCTCTTCTTCGTGGTGTCAGACTGTGGTGCGTTTTGTTTGCCCACTGCGCCTGTGAAAGCAGTGACGGCGATTTTCAATGCTTTGTGGCCCCTCTTCTGCTGTCTCCTGTTTCTACAGGAGTATTGGGCATGTCATAGAGACTAATCTGTCCAAGGACCGAATGCTCTTCATTTGTGTCTCTGCACATGTCACCCTTTCACACGGACTACATTTACATGGCTGCTTGAGTTCTGTTCACACTCATTGCTGGGAAGCAGTTCATTGAAAGAATTCTAGTGTGCAAGATTCAAACCCTCTGGGAGAGTACCCACGTCTGCTAGTAACACATACCTATTGGTTTTAAAATTTAACACAAATTTAGCCTCCGTGATAATGTTAGCACAGCTCAGGGGAAATGTGCAATAAAAGGTCTGCCTGTGCACCATGGAGTCTACAAATTATCCATGAAACATTGTAGTGACAACCTAGAAAAATCATACCCAGAGGCAAATTATCAACCAGGCAGTAAGATCCATTTCGGAAGGATGGCTTTTACTTCAAGGAGGGGAAAAAAGAAAACAAACGAACAAATGAAAACTTCTAATGATAAACGAGAATAATATAGATGTCAAATTGTGAAAATGTTCAGAAGACACAAGTACAGTCTCTTTCCCACTCATTAAAGGAAGCTAACTTGACACTGATGTGAGGCTAACGGACCCTGTGACAAAGGCTCCCCTGTAAAACCAGCCACAAAGTGAACGGCAGTTGGGTTATGACTGGACAAGATAAACATGGGGACTGGATTATCTGTCACCAAGGTTTTGTGGGGGCTTGTCTTTCCTCGAGTCTTATTTAAAATCAGCCAGCACATCAGTTCCCCCTTTATTTTGGTAAAGAGGAAGTGTTTAAACCCACCTGTTCCTCCATTTGTGACCACTGAGTTGCTGGGAAAGGAAGGGGACCTTCCGAGGAAGTTCACAACGCTTCTCCCATCAGCTGGGCTTTCTTTTCTTTAGACCCTTATCACTATCAGTTTCTTAGGACACTAAAAACCTGCCAAATGGAGTATTTCAACTTGGGATGGGGCGGGCAGCAAAGTCAACTGTGTTTGTTCATATTTCTAAAGTATCCGAGTAGCCAAGTGCATGGAAAAAGGTTTTTCCAGATTTCAAAAAGTGATAATACTATTTTCTTTCCTGCCTCTTCAGATACTGCAAAGAACAAGGTAATTTTTGCTTCCCAACCTCTTGGCTAAAGAGGGTTCTCAAATGTCTGCAAATAAAAGTCCGATAAATCTGCTGAAGTATTTATTGAGTGTTCCCTGTGAGCTAGGGATGGGACATAGTCCTGGCCTGTGTTAGCCTATCATATCCATAGAGTGTAATGCACATCCTTCAGTGTGGTACACAGATGACCAGAGCCTGTTGAAGCATCATTTATAGATGCAGAATTACCCAGGCACCTCATTCTAACTTACAAGATTCCATGTTGATTTGTTTTTAAGGATAGGACAATAGAATAAGTTAACTTAGTTTTTAAGGTTATACCAGGATCAGTTCATGTCACTTGCCTATCACTTCATCATGCTTTGTGTGAGGAAAGACGAGGCAATAAGTATCATCTCTGACTTAACCTTGTCCTGAGACCCTCAGAGGCATGATTCTAAAAATCAAAGCCTTGACCAACCAACATCGGATGCCATTGGCTGTTGTATTACTCAGACAGTTCCCAGAAAATACCTCTCTTCTACAAGATAGTGAATGAAAACCAAGGCAAAGAGGCACAGGTTCTGGGGACTAAGAGGACAGGCCCTCAAGCTGTGTTAAGTCTAAAGTTAAGGCTAAAGATATTTCATTTGTTTTGAAAAAATATTCAGGTCAAAGGGTGAATATTCACCTTGATAATCCCCAGCACAGTGTCCATTCATCATTCACAGGCACTGTGGTTATTCAGATAGAAATTTGAAGAGGACTTTGGAAAGCCTCAAGTATCTTGCCAGAATTTAAAGCATATATTCATTAGTTCTTTGACAATTTCATCCACTGTATTTTGAACCTATTCACCTATCCCTCAGCTCCTCCCAGATCCACCCTGCATTCCATGCCCACTGAGCTTTGTGCCCTTGTTTATTTTTAAACTCACCCAGTCCAACTAGCACCACCCATGTATCCTTGGCTGTGTGACCACTCACTGGAGCATGCTTTATCTACCAGGAGCCTCACCCTTACAGAAAACTGACTTTTCCTAGCAGCTATCAGTTACAAATAGCTCTTCAGCCAGGAGTAGAACCTCATGACTTCCTCTCCCTTCAACGCTAGGCTATTTGTCTGGTCTGAGCGTTTGCAGCTCTTGTGTTTGCCGGCATAATCACTGAATGCATATGTGCAATTCCCCTTCTGTGTCTGGAAAATACTGTTGAAGTCACCCACCACCTCTGGCTCTCTAATCTTTCTACTGCTTCTTCCTTGAACCTTGGGAGAGGCAGAGTGATACACATACCCTGTTTGGGGTTGAGCACTCCACCGCTTTTTATTCTGTGCACCTTGCCTAGTTGTGGGTCTGTTAATCATTACGTGCTGCAAAAAGAAGCTTCTCTTTGGGGTTAGAGGGAGGGGCTAATCTGTGGCTATAACAAGCCATTGGGAGTAGGTTTACTTCTATGTCCTTTTGTTTGTTTGTTTTGTTTTTTGAGACAGGGTTTCTCTGTGTAGCTTTGGAGCCTGCCCTGGAACTCTCTCTGTAGACCAAGCTGGCCTTGAACTCAAAAACATCTGCCTGCCTCTGCCTCCCGAATGCTGGAACTAAAGGCGCACACCACCAATGCCCAGCTTACTTCTATGTCCTTTTAGCAGAGTAATAGAAATAGGTTCCCCACTAGGGCCAATGACCCATCGAGCTACAGATTCCTTGATAATGGTGCCAGTCACGGACTCCATATTGTGTAGAAGGCTTTAAATCCAGTCAGAAAATGGTTGATCACTCTGATGACGCTCACACTGCTGTTGTACCAGTGGGTAGATGTTGCCAGTCACATCTCACAAGGTCCATAGCTGGAAAAATTTATGATTGCTGTCTCGTCTGAGACTATGCGTAGCACCTTCCAGTACCATGAGGCTAGCCAGTAAAGATGAAGCACTTAGGTCAGTTCCATCTTGATTTCTCCATGTCCTTCCTTTGACTCAAGTATGTGATATATTCAGCTCTAGTCTTACCATCAAGTTCTGGAGGTAACCAGGAGAAAAGGCAATAATAGTCTGTAATCTTTGCGGCTCTTTGCAACCTCGTGGACTATTAGTTAAAATAGAGACAGCCCCGTTCCTGGCCTTTCTATTTGTTGGATGATGGTGTCTAGTGGGGGCATTGCTGTCCAGGTACGGAGTAACAGTTGAAACGCATTTTTGTATGTTTTGTGTTCTAGGAGACCTGCAGCAGCAGTAGTTCATGTGGCTTTTATCAGAAGGGCTTCACTGCCCGCTATCCTTCCCCAAACTTCCACCTACACCTTCCCCTCCCAGCTCCCGGCCCCACCTACTCTGTTCCGCTCCACCATTTCCCTCTTCTCCTTTAAATCATAGTGTTGTATCTCCCTCCCTCGGGAAGCCCTCCCTTGTCTCCACCAGGGTGAGCATTGCCTTGGCTAGTTCACGCCTTGAGCAAGGGACAGGGCTGGTTCTCTCCATGTCAGGGCCTAGGTCAGCTCTCCCACACCATCTGGGCCCGCTCTACCGTGTTGTCCAGGTGAGGAGCAGGGGGCGCTCTCACAGTAACACAGCTGATGAGGGGCAGCTTTTATGAACTCAGACAGCTCTCCCACCTGTGGCTTGTAAGGGGGAGGGTAAGCTCCATCCTCTGTTGCGGTGTTATGGGGGTATTCCCCTGCCCAGTCCACACTGCCACAGGACAGATGAGTAGTAGGGACAGCTCTCCCACACCCACACCTCAGGGCTGGCTTACCCACACTCCCGTTAACAGGATGGGCTCTACTGTGCTGCCCAGACAAGGTGCAGGGTCTGCTGTCCTGAGTGCTGTGGCTAGTGAGGGACAGGACTCGCTCTCCCACTCTTGTGACCAGGCAGAAAGGGGTTGGGGCAGGAGGCATCTCTCCCCTGCCTACGCCAACATATAGCAGCAGCAGCAGATGACAGCATGGTCCAGTTTTAATCAAGATTTTTTTTCTTGATGTTTAGATATTTTTTAGTTTATTGTGTATCCTAGATTTTAATTCTCTTTCAAATGTGTAGCTGGTTAAGATTTTCTCCATTCTGTAGGTTGCTTCTTCACTTGAATGATGGAGTATTCTTAGCTGTACAGAAGACTTTTAATTTAACAAGATCCCATTTGTAAGATGTAAATCAGATGACAATGAAAGAATAGACTTAGTTTGATATCAAAATGAGAGGTGATTTTTGTCTGAGATGTTGGCTCCCCCGAACCCAATAGCTCAAAATCTGAGAAATGTAGCTGTATATATGTACACACACACACGCACACACACACACACACGCACACACACACACACGCACGCACACGCACACACACACGCACGCACACACACACGCACGCACACACACACGCACGCACACACACACACACACACGCACACACGCACGCACACACAGTGTTTTCTCTGTGTTACTTCCTGCTTGCAGAGG